AGCCCGGGGCTCTGCTCCTGCTGGCCAGCCTCAGCAAAGGGGCTCTCCCCCAGAACAGGGGGACACAGCAAAAGTGTGCTTCGGGCTGGCTCTAAAAGAAATGTGCCAAAAAAGCATTGCTCCCTTCAGCCCTTTATGCTGAGGCACCAGGAGGACCTAAAGACATTTATTGAACAGAAGGAAAGGTGCCTTTTGGGCTTGGCCTTTGTGGGTGGCCAACAGCTTTGACACAGAGGTGAGATTCCCCTTTCCACCCAAATTAAATATTTCTGGCTGAAGAGAAAATGAAATCATTGCCCACAGCCTGCCCAGGGATCTCTTTTGTGTCTTGTTTGACTGCACACAAACCTTCTGAGTCCCTTCTGTGCTGCAGCTGAACGACAGAGCCACGTTTCAGCCAGAGAAAACACAAATGCTTGTGCTTTGCTGTGGTGGGGAGCAATGAGAAGGTGTTCCTTTAAAAGCTGGGGTGCTTCCTATAGGCACCATGTCCTGTGTAGGGAATGCTCCAGAAACTAGGAGGATGTACAGAGTCAGCCATGAAATGTGTGTATTTAGTAAATACCATTGTGTTAGATCACGTTTCTTCACACTGCTCCTCTGTACCTGGCTGCACACGAACAAAACAAAAAATTAAATACATTTGTCTCCACTACAGGAAAGAAATTGCAGCCAGGCCGGGCAGAGAGGGAAGCAGAGCAGCTGCAGGGCAGATTTTGGCCAGTGCTGAATAAGTGGAGTGTGCAGGATGGGCCAGAGTGTGCACACAGGGCTGACAACTGCTCCTGAGATCAGAGCACAGCAGCCTGGGGAGGCTGGGCAAGGCTGCAGTAAAGGAACTAGAAATAGGACATAAACAATTGATCCAAAATATTGATGAGCTTAATAAACCCTATTAATTCTTTCCCTGTAGGTAGAAAGTTCTTTTTTTTCTGCTTGAGCTGCAGAGAGGGCAGGGGTGTCTCAGTGAAGAGATGTGCAGTGCCCAGGGGTGGAGAGCAAGGTGTGCCACACAGGGCTGCTCTTCCCTTGCCTTGCACTCTCTTTTAAATAAAGCTGGGTCTTGCCAGGGCTGGCTGGCAGACCCTGGGAAGATGGGGGTCTTGCTCCTGCAGTCACAGCTGGCAGAGCCCCCAGACTCACGGGAGGAGCTGCACTGGAGCAGCAGGGGAGGCAGGAGCAGGGTCAGCCTGGCGAGCTCACAGCACCAAGAAACCAGCCCAGGCAGGCTGGAATGGGCTCTGTGAGTGTGCCCAGCTGGGTTCTGAGCCTGCCCACAGCTCAGAGCTGCCCACTGTGAGCTGGAGGTGACAGGGGCACCGTGAGCCCCAGCTCCAACCCGCTGGGGGAAGCTGCTGCTGGTCCTTGGGTTGGTTTTCTTTTTCTTTTTTTCTTTCCTTGAAAACACGAAAGGGATGAGCAATTGCAAGAATAACCAGCACAGTTCACTGCCTCTTTAGAAAGGCCTGGTGGAATCCCAGCCAGCAGGGGAAAAGGGCTTGGGGTGAGAAGGGCTGCTGGTGCCAAGAGAGCTCTGGCACAAGGCTGGGAGAGCATCCATACCTCTCACTCTTGTGAGGAGGGGAAAGAAAAACCGACAAAAAAAAGGAAAAGAGAGGGAAAAAAAATAAGGGAAATTGTGGGGGGGAAAGAGAGAAAGAGAGAGAAAGAGAGAGGGAGGGAACACAGCCCAGCGTGGTTGGAATAGCTCAGCTCACTGTAGCCTGTCCAAGGACAGCCCTGGCGGATCATGAAACAGCCTCTCACATCCCTGTGGTTTGTGCTGCTAGGAGACAAGGTACAAAACACACAGCCTCACACCGGGCTCTGTAAAACCTTATACTCCCCCTCAGACCCAGAGCTCAGCTGAAGAATTCGCGTCACCTAATTAGAACCAAGTTTTAAAACAATCAAAAATAGTAAAGTAGAAAAATTTAAAAAAAAAATGAATGGCCCCTTTCCTTTCTTTGCCCCCCCCTTCTGTGATTTTAGTTACCACAAAAGTTGAAAAGCACCTTGCTGACTCTTTTCCAGGCAGAGTTTCCCCAGAGGCTTTGCTGGCAGCTCTGGACTCCTGAGCATGTTTGGGGGCTCCATCCCTTCCTGCCTGGGGTGCCCCCTGGGCTGTACCCCCTTCTCCTGCCTCTGGGACAAGCACAAGGAGCCCTCAGCTGCTGCTGCACTGCAGGGCTCTTCTTCTGCCCACAGAACGGGACAGGCATTTTGCTAGAAGAATGAAAAACCCAACACCCGAGCCTTTGCACGTCAGGAAAAAAAAAACCCTCCGAATCTTTGCCTTGCCTCAGTGAGAAAGGTCAGGGCTGTCTCACGCTTATTCCAGGGTTTATCTGCCAGGCATTTCATCCTGAGCTGGGCTCTTCTGCTGGGTTTGCAGCCAGTGCAGGCTGGAGGTAGCAAATGCTGCTGAAGCAGAGTTCTGTGCGGTGCCCAGACCCTGCCCTGCTGTGCCAGAGCTGCAGCACACAAACCTCTTCTATGAGCATGATTCTCCCAGTGTTTAAAATACTTTAAATACTTTAATATTTTAAATATTTTGTATTTAATATCCATATTCAATATGATTCTATGAGCATGATTCTCCCAGTGTTTAAAATATTTTAAATATTTTACTATTTTAAATATTTCGTATTTAATATCCATATTCAATATGTTTGTATGAGCATGATTCTCCCAGTGTTTAAAAGGGAACATGAAAAGAGAAGGAAGGGAAAATAAAAAACCAAAACCAAAGGCCCAAGACTGTTTTTATTTACGATCGTGTTCATGGCCACTCTTTGTCTGGACTGCTGGCATTAGCATCTGAAGCTGCTCTGGCACCTAAAATACCATTTATCTGCAGGGGAAATAAAGCCCTGGATTAACAATTATCCATGGAAATAACCTGGGAGCTGACAGGGGCCCGAGGAGACCAAAGGTAACAAGAACTGGATCAGGCATCTTTGTCTGCCTCGGCTGCAGGGATGTTTTCTCAGAAAACTAAACAAAACAAAACAACTTCCCCTTCCCAGTGACCCCTCCCCTCTCCAAAATAATTTGGCTTCAGGAGAGCTTCCTTTTGCTTCTCCTCCTCCTCCCAGCTTTGTTTGGTGCTTTGAGCATCTCCCCACCCTCCACCCCAGGAGCTCCCACCCTCGGAGGGTGGGAGGGGGCTGGAGAGGGGCAGCAGCCCCTGCCAGGGGTGCCCTGGGGCTCCCAGCTGCTCTGCCTTCCTGCACTCCCTCCCAAGGCTCACGGCCTCCACTTTTACTTCTCTGGAGCCTGATGTGGGGTTTTCTCCTGTGGCCATTCTGAACCGATGGGTCACGCTCAATTAAACTACTAATTACAGCTGCTAGTCCCATTTTAGCGCTTAATCCAAGGAAATCTGCCTTTTTAATCTGATGCAGACAGTAAAGAGTGAAACGAAAGGTCAGGGCTAGATTAGGAGGAGGGTTTAAAGCAGGAGCCAGCGAAAATGTCACTGTATTTAGGTGCTTCTCTTAAAAAATCAGCATTTCCAGCCGTATGGAACAGCCTGGAAACAAAGCTGCATGCTGGTGGCACACCTGGAGCAGGTACAGAGCTCACACACCGTTCTAAAACTCAGCCAACAGACATGCCAGCTGTGAGGTATTCCTTCTCTGTGTGCTTTTTTTAGGGGCCTTTTGTGGGGCAAGAGCACCCAGCACAAAGCCTGGGCTCCCAGAGGATGCTCAGCCTCCTTCCCTCCCTCTCCTGCACCCCTGGAGCCCCTGCCACCTTCCCCCAGCTCAGCCTGGCTGCTCCCCGTGAGAGAGGCTCTGCTGCTGGGATCAGAGCCTGAGGAGACAAATTCCAAAGTGCAAAGAGCAAAGGATGTTTTCTTTTCCGCTGGACAAAGCACAACTTTTCTGGCAGGCCCGGGCAGGACGGCCTGTCCGCTTTGGCAGCACCCTGCACGCCTGGACGTACACAAGTGTGTTTGTGCATGCAGCCTGCCTCCACTGCTCAGCCTCTGTCCAAGAGGGGTTTGGCAGGAGAGGCATCTGAGAGGATTCAGGGCTGCAGGGTGCTGCCTGCCTCACCCAGCTTCCAGCAGCCTTGGGAGCCTCTGGGAGAGCGCCCACGGGACACCCCTGGGTGCTGAGCCCACGATTCAGGGTGGGTGCACCCACCCTGCCTCACCCAGCTTCCAGCAGCCTTGGGAGCCTCTGGGAGAGCGCCCACGGGACACCCCTGGGTGCTGAGCCCACCCTGCACCCACAGGACACCCCTGGGTGCACCCACGGGACACCCCTGGGTGCTGAGCCCATGGGACACCCCTGGGTGCACCCACAGGAGATCCCCTGGTGCTGTGCCCACTCTGCACCCACAGGAGATCCCTGGGTGCACCCACAGGACACCCCTGGGTGCTGAGCCCTGGCTGTGCCCACCCTGCACCCACAGGACACCCCTGGGTGCTGAGCCCTGGCTGAGCCCACCCTGCACCCACAGGACACCCCTGGGTGCTGAGCCCTGGGTGCTGAGCCCACCCTGCACCCCCAGGACACCCCCGGGTGCTGAGCCCTGGGTGCTGAGCCCACCCTGCACCCACAGGACACCCCTGGGTGCTGTGCCCACCCTGCACTCACAGAGACCCCCAGGTGCTGAGCCCTGGGTGCTGAGCCCACCCTGCACCCCCAGAGCTTCGCCCAGCAGCTCAGAGCACTCCCCCAGCCCCAAGGCCAAACCCTCCCCATCCCAACTGTGACCCTGAACCTTCGCCAAAGGCATCTGGAAAAGGCTTCACGTGTCACAGGCTTTTCCTGACCAACAATCCTTTTGCATCCTGGCTTCTCCCAGGGTTGGGTCTGCTCTTCCATCCCCTCCTGAGAGCACTAACACCCATCTGGGGACCTCGTGTTTAATGCCTTAAAGCTGCAGGTTAAACTTGCTGGGAAATGAATCACGGCTTCCCTTGGGATTCTCATGCTCGTTTAGGTTGCAAACACCCCGCCCGTTTGACCACAATATTATTTTATTTGCCTTTGCTGTTTGCAGAGAAAGATACACCCCTTGTGCTGACCCAAAAGTTCTTGTGCTCAGTGCCACTGCCAGGCAACCTGAGAGGGGAAAACAAGTTTATCCCAGTGAAGGCCGTGCTCAGCCCTGACTGTGAGGCTCAAAACACAGCTGGCAAACACCAGCACAAGAGAAGACAGACCTGAAGGCTGAGTGCCACAAGAGCCTGCTGCAAAGGCACCTCCAGGATCCCCAGTCCAGGTCCCTGGTCTGCCAGCCCTCCCCAGCAGTGCCTGGGCTTCCCAGGGGAGCTGCTCTTTGCATTCCCCTGGTTTTTAGTGCAAATAAAGCAGTCAGATTGAATCTGAAGGATCACCTTCTTGCCAACAAAAAGGATCCTGCCACACAGCAGCTCACTTTGGAGCAGGCAGCTGGCATCTGTGGGGGCATTCACTGGGAACAGCAGTATTTACCCAGGTGGGAGGCATCAGAAGGACCCTGAGTGGCCATTCTTAGCTTTTCCTGGACAGTCTGGTGTGGATTTCATTTCTGGCATTCTGTAAATCTGACTGCCACTGCAAATCCAACTTCCTGTTGTGCAGCGGAGTTTCAGGCAGTTTTCAGTTAGCACCATTTCACAAGGAGCACAGGTGAAACACCCCCCAGCTCCCTGCTGGCAGGTTCACAGTGTCACTGCTGTCACCAAACACCAGCCAAATCCTGCAATCCTGGATCCAAATCCTGCAGAAATCCTGAAATCTCTGCACTCCCTGTACCAGCTCAGGATGGAAAATGGCCAAGTGTCAGCCCCGGCGATCGAATTTCCTCACTTGCCCGTTGAATCCCTGGGTTCCCCTGGGTTTCCATATAGCTGATTAAACAAAACAAACCTGTAGGGAAAGAGAAGGTTTGACATGATTAACTGCCTCTGCTGGTAATGTGTGCAACCCACCCAGGTGTCTAGACAGTTTGAAAAATACAGATCACATGTAGGAGGAACAGATGGTACTCCTCAAGTCTCTCTGCTGGACCTCAAATTTAGTAGAAACAGACCTTATCAGTGTCAGGTGGTTCTCTCCCACAGAAAACATCCAGCCCGTGGCAGGAAATTAAGTTACTGCTTTGGTGGATGGCGCTTTACCTGCAGCCTACCAGAAAGTTCTGCACTCTCAAAGGTCCTGTTTGGAGAAAGGTGAAAAAAGAACAAAAAGTTCAGACCCATTTCGACTGTGGGAAACCTCCAGTATTTTTCATAAAAGGAAATAAAACCTCAATAGCTGTGTCCTAGCAGGTTGCAGTTTAGGCAGGTGGCTGTGCCTGCCCAGGTACCTTTTAATGAGCTCTGGCCTGGGAGGCCCCACAGGAGCAGGATGGGCTTTTCCAGGAGAAAGAAGCACAGAAAGCCTCTAACCAGGATGGCAGATGGGACTGCTCCCATTTAAGTCAGCAGATTTCACACCACCAGTGTCCCAAGGCCAGGCAAACCCCAAGGGAATCCCAAGGTCTCCCCTGCTCAGCAGGTCTCTCTCTTCTGCTGCAGTCAGATTTGCCACAGCTCAGAAAAAGCCACAATTTCCTTGCCCCACTTCGCTGTGTTTGAGAATTCATCCCTCTGGTGGGGGGGATGAGATTTATAACCCAGCTAAGTTCCAGCCCAAGAGGCTGCCCCGGGCTGGGGCTGCTCCCCAAGGGCTGAGTGCTTTTATTACAGACTGCAAATCTCCTGGGCTGTAAATCAGCTGGCACAGAAATGTCCCAGCAGAGCACTCAGCACGGGTGGCACTGGCAGGGACGTGCCCAATCTGTACCTGCCTGTGCCAGGGTGGGACAGCAGCCCCCAGGAGCAGAATGCCCAGGGCAGCCCCAGCAGCTGCTGGGAAGAGCAAAGTGTGAAACACCAGGCAGACAAAACATCTGGCAGCTGCTTGGAATGGTTTTCTGTCTGAAGGGCAGACAAGGCTGCAATAGTTTCGAATGAAAACATGTGCAAAGGCAGGATGGGTGCCTCAGTGTGTTTTGTGCAAGCACTGAACGGGCTTTGCTCCTTTCAGCACTGTTCTGTAAGCCAAAAAGGCTGTGCTTTGGGTTAGGTTTGTAATTTTAATAGATTTACTAAATAAATCACTGTATTTCCTTGTCCAGTCAAATGCAGCTTTGGCATAAGAGCAACAGCATCAGCTCTGCACAGGAAGCGTGTGGGAGAGGAGGGCAGCGTGCTAGGAGCTGGTTTCCATAATTGCCTTACCTTCTGCAGCAGCAAAGGTGGGACTGCCAAAATGAGTTCTCAAAAGTGTGACGCACGTTCTTTCGAGTTCCCACATCCCAGGCCCAGGGAAAATTGCCTGGATACTGGCAGAGGACTCGACAGGTCCTGGCTCCAACAGGGAAGGTGTTTGAGCTCAGAAATGAACTCTGTCCTGCAGACCAAGGAGAGAACTGGCAGCTGCCTTCCCCCTCAAGCGCTCCTCTCCTGGCACTGTCACAGCTCAGAGCCACGGGCACAGCTTTGGGCAGGAGTGGGACTGCTCTGAGACAGCCTGGCAGGGCTGCCAGAGGGATGGCACTGCCTCACCAGCTCCTGCACTTCTCCCCTGGCACGCTTTTCTGGACACAGGTCACCTCCACAAAGCCCCAGCTCCCAGGAGGAACGAAAGCTGCAGAGCACCAGGGTGCCAAAGCTCTGCTGCAGCTCAGGCAGGCAGCTCTCAGGGCCAGCAGCCTCCCAAAATCTCCATGTGCTAACCCTGGTGAGTCAGCACGGGAGGAGGAGGAGGAGGAGGAGGATGCTGGCAGGGCAGCAGGGGTGGCTTTCAAGGCTCTCCTGACACAAGCAGAACCTGCAGCTTCTCCTGCTCCCCACAAAGGCAGAGAAGTGCCTGCCAGGGCTGGGATGGAGGCAAGCAGAGCAGGGCTGCACTGATTTATTAGGAGCTGCTAATCTGTGATATCATTTGTTGATCCCACCAGGGCCAATCCCCAGCTCACGACTTCCTCCCCTGTTGCCATGGCACTGTACATAAACAGGGCAGGCTCCCGGCCCCGAGCAGGTCATTTGTTTCAAATATTCCATGCAGCTGGAACACGAGCCTGTTTGGGTGTCTGGAGCTGAGCATGAACTAATTCCCGAGCCCTGTGCACCCTGCAGGCACTCCCAGCACACAGGACAGGCAGAGCCTGTCAGGAACCAGAGCTGCCACCCCTGCCTTTGCTGGTGTTGGAGCTGTGTACAAACCCTCCTCTCACCCGGGTGTTTTCCACACGTAAGAGACACCCAAAACGTAAAAAAAATTAAAATCTTGTCCTGACTGGAGACAAGAGGCAGGAAAGCACTTGTCTTTTTTTGGGGTGTCCCTGCCCAGCACCCCCTGGGCAGCCCCCAGGCTCTCACCTGCTGCTGTGTGTGTGAACTGAGTAGAAGCTTTGGTGCAGGGAAGCCTGTGCACAGGAGGAGGACTTGGAGCCTTCATCATCACCAGGGGCAAAGGCACCACCAGGGCTGGAGAGGCTGGCACAGAGGGGGAGCCTCCCTGCCCTGCACAGGTGAGAGGCACAGGAAAGCAGCTGTGAAACAGCTGGAAAGCAAGGGCAGCAGGAAGCCAAGGCTGCCTGGCCACAGGTGACCCAGCTCCATCTCTGAGGCACACACTGAGCTCAGCCTGCACACACCTTTCAGTTCCTCTCAGCTGTGAATTGTTTTTGTCAGAGATAAAGCCCCTGCCCTGCCTGCCCGGGCACGCTCCTGGGGAAAAAGTGCTGCTGCAGAAACAAAGCCCAAAGAAATCTGATCAGCTCGTGCAAATAAAACCCACCACAAGTAATATTTAATAAAGTTTATTAGGTTACTGAGTTCTATCTACAGTCATAAAATAGAAAGGATTTTGAACTGTACAGAGTCATGTCCTGGTGAAGTGAGGAGAGATGGAAATGAGGGAGCACAAAGAGCATCAGAAGGAGGGAGAACACAGCTACTTCCCTGGAGTTCTGGAAGACACTGGTTCAAGTTGAAGGCAACCAAGCAGGGCCCCACACACACTGAATTTTGTGTCCCACCCTGCAACAGAAACTAGTACAAACCCCTACATTGAAAAAAACTCATATAATATTAGAATAAAAAAGGGGCACATCACACCCCACCCAGTCTTGGCACCAACTCTGTGCTTTAAAAAATATACTATGCAAGTAGTTTATTTTCAAAAAGGTACCCTACAGCAGCTGTTTAAAACATGTTCTTGTACATACACCCCACATATATATATTAACATTTTCAACAACTAAACTCATTTGTACCTACACAAAACTGAAGGGATAACTCAAAAGCAAAACCAAAACAATCACACAAACATTTTTCAAGAAAAAAAACCACAAAGAAATGTGCAAAATAACCCCAGAAAGGCAGCATAGTAACCTGTGGAGAGGTCAAGAGAGCAGCTCCTGCTGATAAAGGAGTGCCATCCTCTCCACCTGGCTACTGAGGATCTATTTGGGATGTGCTGATTTTGCCTGAATTGCTTGTCCTGTTTATTGCAGCACTCTCCTGCTCCCTGCAGAGGTTCAGTTTGTCCCTGCTGTGCCTGAAGGTCACCCCTGGCCTGTGTGACCCCTGGGGCTGCTCCTCACCTGTGACCCCTCCTGTGGCACAGCCCCACCCCGCAGGGCAGAGCCTCTCCTGCTGCAGTTAGGCGGGGATTAGGTAGGTCTGGGACAGAGCAGAGCCTGGCTTGCATGAATTTAAGCAGCTTATCAAGAGGAGAACTCCCTGGCAGTGCCATTAGAGAACCTGAGCGTTGCTGTGAAGCCCCAGGGGACAGGACCTGCAGCTGTGTGCCAGCTGTGTGCCAGCTCACACACACGGTGCCACGCTGGGGCTCAGGTCTGTCCTGCCCTGGCCCACAGCAGCCAGGGAGCCCAGAGCAAAAGCTGCAGCTTTCAGTCAGGATGGAGGAGTGTGAAGACACAGCCCGACTCAAAATCAGCTGCCAAAGCCACGGGGAGGAGGCAGAGCAGAGCAGGGAGCAGGATGAGCACTGCTGGTCAACAGGAACCCTGTGAAACAGCAACACAGCAAGGGGAGAGGGCCCAGCACAGATACACACAGCAGCAGCATGACCACCTGCTCCAAAGTAAGAAGTGTCCTGGTGGAGGAAGGGCTCTTGGTTTTGCTGTTTCAGGGCTTGGGGTTGTACTTTTTTTTTTTTTTGGCTTTTAAAAACTCATCAATTAATTCTTTATGGCATTCCAGACTCTCTCCAACTCCGCTGGCCGTCCTGAGCCTTTCCACTCTCAGGACCTGGTCTTAACACTTCCACTCCTAACGCCTCCTCTTCCCCCAAATTGTTTTAATTCTTGTATTATTCTTCTTTCACCACCATCCTTCCCTTTAGCTGCTACAGAAGAACCATTCCCCGAGGCAGCACAGCCTCTTCTCAGGAGGAGAGGGGAGCACAGAGCCTCTGTCAATGTTCCTTTTGTGAGGGACTCCCGAGGAACAAAGCACTCAGCTGTGAAGCCAGGGCTGCCCCAGGGAGGCACGGGAGCTGCAGCAGGGCAGGAATCCTCTGGCCAGGCAGCTCCAGCAGCAGGAGAGCCCAGGGCTCCGCGGGCAGCTCATCCACGCCTCGCTTCCACCTCCGTCCTGCGGCACGGGGGTCACTGGTAGAGCAGGTAACTCTTGAGGGAGGCTGGCAGGGGCAGGCTGGGGATCTCAGCCAGTCTGTCCTTGCCCAGGGCAAGCCGCACGGCTCGCCGGCACAGGTCCATCAGAGGCAGTGGTTCAGCTGGGGAGAGAGAGCCGAGACATTACCAGCCCAGCAGTGCACACTGACCTGCTCACCTGGCACAAGGTGCACACTCACACACTCGCCTGGTCTTCTATAAAACAAGGGTGCTCTGAGAAGGAGCACTGCACACCTGGCACAAGGTGCACACTCACACACTCGCCTGGTCTTCTATAAAACAAGGGTGCTCTGAGAAGGAGCACTGCACACCTGGCACAAGGTGCACACTCACACACTCGCCTGGTCTTCTATAAAACAAGGGTGCTCTGAGAAGGAGCACTGCACACCTGGCACAAGGTGCACACTCACACACTCGCCTGGTCTTCTATAAAACAAGGGTGCTCTGAGAAGGAGCACTGCACACCTGGCACAAGGTGCACACTCACACACTCGCCTGGTCTTCTATAAAACAAGGGTGCTCTGAGAAGGAGCACTGCACACCTGGCACAAGGTGCACACTCACACACTGACCCTGGTGCTGCTAACCCCAGGGAGCTCTGAGCAGGAGCAGTGCACACCTGGAATGAGGTGCACACTCACACACTCACCTGCTCTTCTATAAACCCAGGGTGCTCTGAGAAGGAGCACTGCACACCTGGCAGATCTGCAGCACCTCAGCCATGCAGGTGAAGCTCACCCAGCACTCCAGCAGGGCACAAGGTGTCTGCAGGTGACTTCAGCCACACTCTGTGAGTGAAACAACCCTGCAATTCCAGCTGGATGTTCCTCCTCTGCAACTCCAGTCAGAGCACATCTTCCAGCCCATGCCTCTTACTGCAGTACCCAGAAACTTCTGTAAGAGTCACTCAAGGAAAAGGCTTCAGCAGCCAGAGCCTCACGGGGCCTGGCACCCAGAAAGCAGCAGGATTTATCTCACACAGGAGGGGAACAGCCCCTCACTTACACTACAGAGCTCCCAAGGAAAACAAAGCCCTCTGTCAAAGCTCCATGTCACTGCCTGCACCCTGACACCTCCCAGCAGAGCAGTCCCTGCCGTGTCACAGGGCAGGACACAAGCCTTTGGCTATCTTTTTCTGCATCCTGTACTTAAAACCCTGAACAAGATAATACAAGTTTTTCAGGAATGGCACACGGGGCCCTTGGCTGCTGAGGAGTCACTGACAGCCCAGAGGGGACCGAGGTCAAAGCCAGAGCTAAAACATGCCAGCTGCACAGGAGGAAAATCCACGCTGGCTCCTCACTGCTGAGCCTGTCAGAGCTCACCTTGAGGCCCGAGGGGCTTGTCCTGCCCCCAGAGAGGGCTGACACATCCCAAAGCAGATAACTGGCCATCCTTCCATGGCCTGAGGGCTCTGCTGCTCCACTAGAGAGCTTCCTTTGCTCACAGACACCTGCAAGCAGCCTCAGGTGAGCCTGGCTGAGAAGCTGCAGCTCCACACCACACGGACCTGAGTGCTCACACAGCTTGCCAAGCCCAGCACTCCACACAATTGTGTGCCACAGCCCTTCTGCCACCACCCAGCCCAGGGTCCCTGCTCAGGGACAGGCTCCTGCAGCCCCCTGCTCCTCTGTGCCCTGGCTGGGACACTGCCCAGAGGCACGGCTGGCAGCACTCCCCTGGCACTGCCCAGGGCAGCTCACTCTGAAAGCACTGGGGCACGGACTCGCTGCATTCAGAGCCTGCCCCAGTTCTGCCTGCCCTGCACAGGGACAGAGGCACTGCCCAGCGTCCAGCACCCCAGGACAAGGGCTGACCCCAGGGCCTTCGGATATCCACAGAACAATCACATTTCAGTCCAGTGCCCTTAAAAGGGGAGGCTCTTCCACAGAGACTCAGGTTTGTCCCCACCTGGAAAGCACACACACACACCTCCTTCCATGCCCAAGCAGCACAAGCACTGACAGTGCTGCTCTGAGTGCTCAGAGCCAGACACCTTCCTCCTCCCTGTGCCAGAGCAGCATCCCGGCAGCGCTGGCCTGCTGCCCACCATTCACTCTCAGCTCAGAGCTCTCCACAAGCAGCTCCTCTCCTGGGGGTGGCCCTGCCTTGCTGAGAGCAGCTCCAGACTCGCTGCCCTGGAGTGGAGCTGCAGGTTTGGCCTGGGACCCTGCAGCAAAACCTGGTTCCTGGGGCTGCTGACATCCTGAAGCTGCTGGGGCACAAGGAGCTGGGCTTTCTTTGGGTGAGAAAGTGCTCTGCCAAGAGCTCTCTGTTTGGTCTTGCAGAGTTGAAGTGTTATTTCCCAAAGCACTTGCAGATTTTGCTCCTGCCCCTTTGCAAGGCTCTCCTGGTCACTGACTGGCAGCTCTGTGGCTCTCAGGGCTCTCCAGTGCTGGACACTTCCAGCACAAACAGAAGAGCCAGTATTCTACAGCCCTTGAGCAGACACTGTTCTGGAATGCAGGGGAAACTTCTCCTCATACCAATACTGCCAAATTTATTTCACTAGCGACATAAATCCAGATTTTAATCCACTTCCTTCACCTCTCTCCTCCACCCTACCCAGAGGACTGAGTCACAGTCTGGCCCCATGGGAACTTCTGACTATGAGAGATAACAGACTTTAGCACATTTGGACAGCCAAATTTATTACTGAGCTGAGCTAGAGATTGATGTGCCTGTTAGTGAAAGGGCTGGCATGCAAGCTGGGCTGACGACAGCGTCCAGCCCCCTGCTAGAAACGAGCACACCCTGCTCTGAGAGAGGCAGGGGAGTGAGCTACTCTTCTGAAAGATGGAAAACGTTCCCATTTTCTTAGATGGGAAGATCTGTCCCTTGTTCTTGCCCGCAAGGGATTTTAAACACCCCCTCTAAGGAAGGGGATTGTCTCAGAGACTGTTTTATGCAAAGAGACACCGGGATTCCAGTGCCAGCAACGCAACTGTCAGAACATTCCTGCTGCTCTGCTGGCAGCAACAGGAGGTTTCCCATCCCTAGCCGGACAACGGGCATCACCTCCTGCCAGCACACCCCCTCCCCAAGCCCTGCTCCGCTGCAGAGCTGTGCAGCCAGGCGCCCTGTGCGCCCTCAGAGCGGCACCCAGCAGTGCTGCTGCCACCAGTGCCCACCAATGCAACGAGAGGAAAGCCCTGCAGTGTGGCCCAGCACGGGGCTCATACTCACGGTCCAGTCCGTTCAGGTAGCACATGCGGATCTCGCAGTGGCCCCACACGGCGCTCACCACCGGGTAGAGCTTCTTCCCCTTGAGCCCTCGGAAGGCCACCCCCATGTACTGCCCGTCCACGATGAAGCTCAGCGTGCCGTCGTCCATGTCCAGCACCACCAGGAAGGAGTCGGGCACGACGAACGTCTCGTCGGGCTCCAGGAAGGCGGGGTAGGTTTTGCTGGGCTGGTTCTTGCCGTCGTGGTAGAGTCTGTTGCGCCCCAGGTCCCAGCCCCAGGACTCGTGGTTGTTGCCCACCAGGGTGGTGTACCCCACGGAGTGCAGGGGGGCCTCGGCCGTGGCCACCCCCACCACGGCGTGCGTGCCGCGCTGGCGCATGGCCCAGGTGATCTGCCACACGTGCAGCCCCCGCGTGTAGCCCACCTTGCCCCGGATGGCGTCGGTGCTCTGCGCCACCGGGTGCCGGTGGAACATCAGCTTGTCGTCCTCCTTGACGAAGACGTTGAGCGAGCGGTCGTCGTTGTTCCACGAGTGCAGCAGCTGCACCTCGTAGGACACCGGGGGCATGTCCAGCAGCAGGTCCAGCCGGGTGGGCTTGCTGTAGTCCAGTCCTTGGAGCTCCTGTTTCAGTGGCCTGTACACAGGGTCCCTCATGTCCACAGTCTTTATGCCACCCGTGACCTTCTGACCCATGGTGTGTCCTGGCCTCGCCTCCTCACGGGCTCATGGATTTACCTGGCAGCTCCCGCTGTCATCCAGCCCTGCAGAAAGGGTTGCCAGGAGGCTTTGTCAGGATGTGCACCACTCAGGGTTGCCTAATGGACGGAAAGAAAAACAGGAGACAAGTTAAACATTAGCACAGCCGGCCCCGTGTGCCGCATTCGCTGAGCACAGCGTTCGTCTGTTCATCCCAGCAACGTGGGCTTCACTTCCACCACCAAGGAAAGCTGCACGCATCAGCTGCAGGGCTGAGGAGACAATTCTCTGCAAGCAAAGCTGTGCTGAGTACCTCGGGGGGCTGCCTGCAAGTGCAGAGCTGCAGACACAAGCTGCTGGGGCCAGCCCTGGGGGACACTCATGCCAGCAGCTCCTGGCCCCCCCAAACCCTGCAGCCAAGGGCAGATAAACCTTTGCCTGGCTCGTCTGGAGTGAGCGCCTTCTCTGCTCCAGGAGGGACAAAAATCCCCAGTTTCAGCTGCAGAGCCCAGGGGGAGGAGCAAGATCCTTCTCACAGTTGAGCAGTTTCCCTTCCAGATTGCAGAGAAGCCTCTGGGACGTTCAAGCCAGCTTGGCCAGAGATCCTTGCTCACTCTGTGCACCTCTCCTCCAGCACTGCATCCACTCAAGTGGCTCTGCTCTCACTCAGCAACACAAACAGCCCTCTGTCACACAGCTGCCAAACTGGGGGCAGCTATTAGGAGAATTAGAAGTGGGAGGGGTGCAAACGAGCTTTCTAAGAAAAAAAAGTGTTATTTTAACATTTCCTGAAGTGAGGCAATCACGCAGCGCTCCTGCCAGCTACAGTCACAACACTTACTCACAACCAAGGACCTCATCTGGCATAGAACACAGAGCATGAATCAGATCTGGTTTAAAAATAAGATTACTGGACATCAGCAAGGCTTCAGCTGGAAGGTGAGCAGGGAAGGCTCTGGGTTAGGGGTGAATTCAGCAGCTTCCCCACAGGTTTTTAGCACCAAGGTACTCCACTGGAACAGTGAGAGAAATCCCAATGCTTAAGTAACAAGAGACAAGACTATTTGTTCTTTCCTTACCCACTTTTTAAAAAAATCATGAATGGAGAGGAAAACGCCTGAGATTCTTTAAAAGTCACATCCCAAAGCACAGGCTGCAAGTACAGATATTTCAGACTATTCAGGGACCTCAGATGTTGGGCCCTGAGACAGAAGATGCCACTTCAATGGGCCCAACCACTTTATCAGCTGCTGAGATGCCCACCACATCCTGGAAGCTAAATAAATACCACCCACAACACCCAAACAAACCCTGGGCCGTGCAAGCCAGCTGGTCACCAGCTGAAAACAAGCAGTGACAGAGGGAGGACAGCCAGGGGACGCCAGGGATGGCTGGGCTGCTGTGCCCCAGGAGTCTGCATGGCTCACAGCCCCTCAGGGGACAAGGAGCAGCAGCATCTCCAACCCAGGCATCCCCAGAGCAAGCCAAAACAGACCTCGGGAGAGGCACGTTAATGCTGACCCAGAGCAGGGATTTTGGAGAAGATTCAGCTCAGGCTCTTTGCTCAGGCTGGGTGAATCCAGACAGGAGCACCAGGTGAACTCCCTGGCACCCCAGGGCCTGAGGCACATGGACAAAAGCTGTCAACAAGGGACTGGCAAGGCACACGTGGAAGTCCACAGGCAAATTCAGCTGTTGGAATTTTGATTAGGATAAGGGAACAAAACATTGACAGAGGGAGGAGAGGCAGAGATTTCCTGTGCAGCACATGTGAGCACACAGCATAGGAAACAAGAACCAAAACAAAGCAGACTGCAGCAGACCTCAGTGAAGCACAAAACACTCAGGAGAAGCAAGGGAACACAACCGTGCTCTTCATTGGCAAAACAATGCCTGGCTCGTTGTGGCTTTTTGCCTTTTGCCAACACAAGCTTCGTGGTATTTCTCTGAGGCTGCTGCAGCAGAAGGGGAATCACACCCCAGTGAGAGCCCTGAGTGCCTGCTCTGCCCCAGAGCAGCTCCCAAACTCTGGCACCACTCATCCCCCACACTGCCCAGGAGCCTTGCCCAGGCACTGCCCAGCACATGGAAGACAACGGCCAGAATAAGGAGAAAGGGGTGAAGAAAGGTAAAATATTGAAACAGAGGGGTGGGTTAGAGCAGGGCAGGGCAGGTGCAGTCAGCCCATGCCAGGATTGAGGTGTAACACAGCTCCTGGGCAGGGCAAGGGAACAATCCCTGCTCACAGCTGGCTCTGCTGCTCCTGGCACCAGCCTGCTGCAGAGGGCAGGGTGGCACCTTGCCCTGCAGCCAGGAGCACAGAGATGCCCCCATCTCTCAGAAGGAAAAGGCTCCTCAGACAGTGCAGGCACTCTCCTGCACAGGAGGGAGACAGAAAGGCCAGTCCTGTGAAATGAATGGATTCATGCAGCCCCACAGGAGACACAGCCAGCCATAAACCAGAAGAGATGCTGGGGAATGAGCTGCTTCAAAACCTTTGAGCTGCTGCAGGTTTAAGTACAAATGTAAACACTGAAAGTGCTTTTATCTGTCTTATCAACAGCTCAGGCTTGCTTCAACTCTGCTCTGCTTTGCCAACACCAGCTCATCCCCAGGATGCACTCCTGCTCCCATGCTATTTTCAGTTCCATTGTTAACCTTCTGGGCTTAAAAACCAGGGAGTGAAATCCTAAGGGTGACTCAGAGAAAAGGATCCACTGCAATTTTCAGCCAGAATTAGACCTGCCTTCCATTTAGGTGCTCAGAGCAAGCTCTCAGCTTGCCATACCAGAAGGAAATGCCAGGCTCCAAAACAACTGCTTGCTGCAAATGGATCAAGGCAGGAGACAGCAGAGACATTTAAATGGAAGGCAAATCCTGCTGTTAAATAGGGAGAACAGCTCTGCAAGTAAGCCTGTGGCAGAGCAGAGCTGCTGTCCAGCTTCCCTCTGCTGCTCAGGAGCTCTGGAACCTCACAGAGTTTGTCCCCAGCTTGCTCTGCACCTGCAGGACCTGTCTGCAGCACCAACAACAGGGACACATCCAGGACCCTCAGCTCCTTGATTCCTGTTTTGCTTTATTTCTTCAAGTCGGTTTACTGTGGCTTTATCTCCTTCCCATAACATTCACTAGGTGTACTTGCACAGATAAGAGGCCAAACCTTTAAACACCTCGCAGGCTCTGGGTGCTCTGCAGACAATGAATCAGAGCCCTGCCCTAGAGATTTCCAGCCTGGAACACACCTCAGGAGAAGAAAAGGAAATTAATATACTGCACATGGCCAGTGACTTGCTTGCAGCTTTAGAAGTTGAACCAGAGGAACCCTGACAGCACCAGTGAACGGGACTAAAAACCCACTGCAGTTTTGCTCAGGTTTCTGTGATTTCAGTAGAAAAGCATAAGGAAAACTTGGTTAATTTTCTTGGGCTGAATGTCCACCCTGCAAGGCAAGAGCCAGAGGAGGCACACAGCTGCCATTCTGCTGGCTAACCTGCAGCAGGCAGGAATGTGCACAGCCAGCAGCCAGACACCCCAGAAACACCCTCCACAATGCCTCCCCTTCTTTAGAACTGTTCCACACCAGGGATTTCCCCTCTCCCCTGGAGGGGCTGAGAGCAGACCCCTTGATCAGAGATATTCTGTGTAACCAAGCTGAAAGGTGGGCCAGCAATGCCACAGCACATCTGAGGTGGGCTCAAGAGGGAAGGAGCCTCCAAGAGCACCCAGACCTCAGCCCCAAGGAGCCAGGACACTGCACTCTCCCTGCTGCTAGTTCTGAGCACCTGAAACACAGCAGGTGACCTGCACTGGGTGTTTGTGCAGGTCTGGGTGGGCTGGCACACCTGGCACACCTGGCCCAGGAGGGCTGGCACAACTGGCCCAGCAGGAGGAGGGCTGACACACCTGGCTCAGGAGGGCTGGCACACCTGGCACACCTGGCCCAGGAGGGCTGGCACACCTGGCCCATCCAGGTGACCTTGTCACTCTCTTCAGCTTCCTGAAGGGTGGCTGTGCTGAGCTGGGGGTCAGTCTCTTTCTCCAGGCAACAACAGACAGAACAAGAGGACACAGGCTCAAGCTGTGCCAAGGGAGATACAGCTAGACTTAAGGAGGAAGCTTTTCACAGAAAGAGTGGTCAAATACTGGAATCATCTGCCCAGGAAAGTGGTGCAGTCACCATCCCTGGATGTGTTCAGAAAAAGACTGGATGTGGCACTTGGTGCCATGACCTAGCTGAGGTGTTAGAACATGGGTTGGATGATCTTAAGGGTCCCTTCCAGCCTAGAAATCCTGTGATTCTGTGTGAACACAGCCCCTCTCTCCCTCACCTGGCACTGCCCAGGCAGCTCTGCTGGAGGTTTCTGGCTCTTGGGCAATGCCCTCTGGCCCGTGCCTGCGGGGTCTGGCTCTCCAGAGCCAGCTCTGAGGTTACCCAGAGCAGCACGTCTGAGCACATGAAAACACGAGGCAGTAACCACCACCCATCCTCAACCAAGCCACTTGCTAGACACTTAAACAAATTTCCACTGCCACCTACCCAGCCAGTTCCTGTGGACTACAATGCTGCATCATCTGGCAGAAAATAGTTCTAAGCAACAGGAGAGAGTTTACTTGGCAAAATATTTGTAATGGTGGAAGCAACTCAGAAGGAGTTCCAGAAGTTTGTGCCAGAGATCTTCTCTCCCACTGAAGGCAGGTCACAAACAGCAATTTTGGTTGCAGAGAAAAGGCATTTCTTTAAATGAAAGAAGTGAACTCGGGCTGGTTTTCCTCACAGAGGAAGTTCAGGGGATGTTTCAGAGGTCATTAGGCTCCTTCCAGCTCTGCATAAGGTGAATTATCAATGTCAACTGCATGTCAAAGCCAGGCACAAATCAGGACTCTTTAAAATAGCTTCTCACAGGCAGATTGCAGTCATTTGTCTGCAACAATTATGGTCCTGGCATGAGGCACTGCTGGTCCAGCTTCCTCTGGCCAGCCCACTTAGGCAGGACCCTGGAGCAGTTCTTTTGTCTCCCTTCCAGAACGACCTGGCAGGAGTTTTGTCCCGGCTGTTCTGAGGACAGCGGCGGCGTGAGGAAGCTCTGCAGGTTAAACTGTTATTATTAATTATTATTAATTGCTGCTGAGTCCAGCAGCTCAGCCCTCACCCTGCTCTGCTGTGCCCATTTCCTGCGGCCTCTGCAGACCAAGCCCAAGGAGGCTCTGGCTGGAAACAGCTCCGTTGGTGCTGCTGCAGCTCGCAGATGCTACAGAGACCCCAGCAACCTGCTCTTTTCTCAGCATGTTAGCTGCACATCAGGAGTTTACTCTGAACACACAGCCCTGGCTGCAGAACACCCAGCCCTGAGCAGCATCATGCTTGTTTTCCCTCCAGCACTGGAGCCATTGGATGGGCTGCATTTAGAGAGGCATTTCCTCCACAATTAAGCCACCATGAATTTTAAACAGTAAATGTTTATGTTCAGAACTATTTGCATTAAAGAAGCCCGGAATAAGACGCCCTCTTGCACAACAACTCCCTGATTTTTGTTACTCCCCCACTTAATTTGCAGCCTGCACTGCCCACTGTCCATCCCCCAGCTCTGTTTAACGCTCTGGATTCATTAGTTTTGTCTGATAACGAGCAGTGGGTGGAAAGGATGAAGTTTGATGTTTCTACCCCTGCCCAGAGTTTCCACTC